TGGCTTGCGGCTTCTCTTCGCCAAATAGACAGACAATCTTTTTTGCTTCTAAGCAAGTTTTCAGTAGGCAAACTGTAGGAAATTATTACCTGCTATCTAACAAAAAAAGCTTAGCAATATTTTATCTTTCTAAAGATGTACTTATTTACTTGATTTATTCACGCTTTAAACATTTTTGTGCACAGCCGAGCGAAGTTGGCAGCGCATGACAGTGCGTCTGGCCACATTTATCTTACGTGCTCGCTCACTCTGCTGGCTGTTGTGGTTGTAGGCTAGTTGCATTGTGTTACCGCTCACGCTGTTTTTTCTTTCTCTTGTGCTTTGTGAGCATGGTTGGGTAAACTACGCAATATGCCTGGATGCTGCTGTGCACCGGGGTGCAACTCTAACTATGGTCATGGACCTAAAGCGCGTGTCTATCGGTTTCCGATGGACGCCGACCAAAGAACCGCATGGACGAGAGCGATCCCTCGCAAGGATTTCGCGCCCACAAAGTACACTGTCGTCAGTGCGTTCTTTCACTTGTCGCAGGTGCCTACGCATGTGTAAACTCACTCAGCTATGCAACTAAAAACCATTCAATTTTCATTATTTGTAAGCTATGCCTTCGGGGCACTTGCAGCATATTTTACGAAGGACGTGAGATACGCAGTATTAGTAATCGTACTGTTTGCCTAATTTTTGTTTTCGCGCGACCAGTCTTGACAAACAGGTACTTTCCTCGCAATCTCACGCCTAGCTGATGGCCTGAGTCACTCTAAACGGACTGCAGTGCCTGATGAAATGCTATGAGAGTTAGATTTACTAAACAGCGCTCGCCTGTTGGGCCGCCTAACAAGGCATTGCTACTATGATAATGCCTAATAATACAACCACTTTTTCTGATATGTAGTTGACGAATGTCCACTAACTTTTTCTTGCTTGATTTTTGTGCTATAAGCTCTGTTTCATTTTCGTTTTTTTCGTGTATGTGAGAAGCACTTTTATACAAGTGATTTTGTTACCACGTCGACCTATCAAGATGAGAAAACCGGACGAGTACTTGAAGTTCCTCTCCAGCTGAGACGACTCAAGTCTGGTGCTATCCCGAGCCTATTTCCAAACTGCCCTTCGTATCTTTCTCGTCCCACTACTGTTGTCCGGGAAGGCCCTGAAGAGAAGCGGCTTCGTCTAGAGGGAGAATCGCTACAGAAGGCAATAAGGCAGTCCGCTGAAGCTCACGACGAAGAGAAGAAAATGAATAACATCAGTACTTTTGAAGACTTGCTCACCGCTCTGACAAGTTTCTAGACAAACACCTTCTGGACAAAACTTGTTACTCACGACAAAGTCCTCTTCCTAAACTTCGATTCTCAAGAAGCTCCAACTGTGCGTTTTTCTGTGACAGTGTCAGCTGATTTTATTGTGAAAGTGTTCGTTGGTGACGTGCAGCTTAACAAGCTTGGGACCCTCATGCTTCCTGTTAATTTGTTTGATCTGCGGGAAATCGACAAGGTTCTTAGTGCTGTGCAAAGTTTGGCAGGAAACTTCTCCGACAGCGAAGAACGCTTGCAGGTTGTCATGAAGAAGACAGTGGAAACACTGGATGAACTAGCGTCACAAAGTTTCCCACATGAGTGGCAAGTGGAAGTTGTCAAGTTCGTAAAACAGCAAGTCGGCATTTTACTGAGCAGAACTTCGAGATACCCTGTGGACTTGCTGGTATTTGCTAGCCTTGTGTTCACAATAACTCCACATGCGTACAGATTTATTAGGTCCACATCAAAGTTGAAACTTCCACATCCCGACACAATTAGACGTGTTTGTGGGTCATACCGTGTGAATCCATGTTCTGAGCAACAAGATGCTTTATTTCTGTCGTATGCAAAGAGACTGGCCGTAGGAATGGATGACCATGAAAAAACTGTGACGCTTGTCATGGACGAAATTCATCTGCAGCCCTACATTAACTACAAAGTTGGTGGTCTAGTAGGAATGCCTACAAACAGTCAAAAACGCAGCAAAAAACTGCATATGTGTTTATGATTCAAAGCCTCCAGTCGTCAAGCAAAGACGTAGTGCACATCCTTCCAGTGGCGAAAATAGATGCAATACAGCTGCATCAATTTCCTCGTGAGCTTAAAATGGGCGTCAGGCAACAGGCTTTCGAGTAATCGCGGTTGTTTCAGACAACTACTCCGTCAATGGGAAGGCAATGTCATTTTTTGCAGAGCCACGGAAGGTTGATACGGTCTACAAGCATTCATCAGACCAATCAAGACCATTGTTTTTTATTTTAGATTCTGTTCATGTTTTAAAATGCATGCAAAACAATTGGCTTAATCAGCATAACAGTGGTAAATGTATGTTTTTTCAAGACATCAATGAACTACCTGACAAGCCGTGCGTGCTAACAGCTTCATTCAACACGCTGCTAGAGCTCCATGAGAGAGAAAGAAATGAGCTTGTACGACTTGCTCCAACATTGTCTTTGAAGGCACTGAAACCTTCGAACTTAGAGCGACAAAACATGAAACTTCTTCTCAAGGTGTTCAACAGTGTCACAATCACAGCTCTCAACAGTGCACAAGCAGCAGAACTGCAGCATGCCAAAAGCACGGCTGATTTTATCAGCACTGTCGTAATGTAGTGGCGCATAGTGAATTTTAAGACGCCGGATAAAGGGAGGCAGCTTCGAGATGACTGACAAGAGCACATAAAGGCAGTTTGTTACCCAAGTCGAGTTTTTGAACAAAATAGTGAGTTGGCTCAACTACTGGAAAAGCCTCAAGCATGACACTGGTCATTTCAGTCATGAGACGCACAATGCATTGCGTCACACGTCTCTTGCTCTTGTTCAGGTGACAAGCTACTGCCTTGAAAAGCTGGGATTCAGGTACGTCTTACTAGGGAAATTCCAGTCGGACTGCCTTGAAGACCGGTTTGGCAGGTACCGACAGTTAAGTGGCGCACAGTACCATATCTCCATACGGCAGATGTATGAAACGGAGCACAAATTGAGGCTGCAGAAGGTCCTCGAGCTGCAGGAGAGTGACGAAATTCCACTATGTGCCTCCACTGATGAATTTCGTGATGCTTTAAAGCAATTCCAGATTGTAGTTGGAGAAGAGGACATTGCTGCAAAGCAGCACACACTTCCAGCTACAACTTATGTCTCTGATTATTGCGCACATGCTGCACTCAAGAAGCTTAAATGTGCATTCTGTAAAGAGAATCTAGTTGTTGAGAGTAGGACTTTTACAATCGAGGCAGACGAGCTCATAGGGAGTATCACAAGAGGTGGACTTAAGTTTCCCCAAGCCGTCGTTGGGAACGACGTACTTATGATGAATATTGTTCTCGAGAAACTGACAAGTGAAAAACACGCAGCCAAATTTTATGCCTGTGAAAAGCAGAAAGAACTGCTTCTTTCAATGACAACACTCTTCCTTGAGTGGAATTAAGACTTTGATGTTTGTGACAATGGCCATTCGCCACATGTAGTGATGGGGTACATACTTAGTGCAGCAGCCAACTCTTTCTTAAACAACCTTTGCAAACGAGAAAACAACAAGCTGTCTGAAGCCAAAGCAGCTAAACGGAAACTGAAGACACTCCAGGCGTAATCTCTCGCACATGACTGATGATGTGTCCTTTGTGTTTATAAAGCCAAATCGTTAGAGCTCTCAGTTTCAACACCTTCTACAAGATCATTTTAAAAATGTTAAAAGCTTTAGCTCCACAATTTTTTAAAGTATTGTCACATTTTTTTCTTTTGCTGTGAACATTTCCTTTCTTTTGGCACTTGAGCTGTTATGTGTAAGAATAATTTGAAGATTTAAATAGATCATATCTAACCCATTTCGTGTGTGTTCAATTACATCTACTGAATATAAGTCAATTAGGTGTCGAAAAGATTTTACAGGTAATGTCATGTTTGCTTTATTTTACTTTTTATGAAAATATCGTATGTGAAAAACTTCGCAAGAATCCTCGTTCAATGACTTTATTTCATTGTTGGTTTGTTTTTAAAAGCATTTTATATATTAAAACATGCAGTCTTGTTTTGACACAAATCTGGTTCATTTACTGAAATGCAAAATAGACCCTCTAATGCCTTCAAAAACTTTACATAAACCAACGAGTCCGATAACGCGCCTTACTTCAGTATAATTATAACTCACTGAGGCACACTTTCTCACGTGTGGTATTATAGCCAATAAACTTATTTTCATTTCCCGTTACCACTGCTCTGCTGCTAGGTGTGAACTTCTCCATTGCACGATGAGCTCATCACAAGGTTCTGCTACAATTGTAAATATAAGTGTAAATATCAAAAACTTTTCGGGGTCTATAACATTTACACCTGTTGCTAACAAAAATTTCTTCTAGGCAAGCCCGTAGCCAAAAAAAAATTTTCGGGTGGTGGGGCACGTGTTGAAGTGCTTGACAAACCCCTATTTTCACTATTTATTCTCAGTAAAACAGCCCCCTCCATCGGAATTTTGGGGGGGGGGAAGGGGCCCTCCTAATTCCTCCCCCCTGGCCATGGGCCTGCTTCTAGGTGTAAATCTCTCAGAAAAAAAGCTACGAGTGCAACTGGGCCGCAGAATGACAAAACGCGAACGTGTGCCGATCATTTGAGTGAAGCCAGCCAGGCAGATCTCACACTGACTACGTCACGTAGGCTTGCGGAGGCCTGAAAAAAAAGTCTAGGTGGTGTTGACCGGGCTCGGACGGGCACGACTAAACAAGTGCCTCCGGGCCCGAGCCGAAAATCTCGGCTCTTCAACAGTGCACAAGTCTCTCTTTAGTCCGGCTTCAATGCGCCGACACGCGCATCATGTTCCATTCTTACCAACCCCGTCTCTACGGACCCAGGCTTCTTCCGCACAGACTACGGAATTTACTAATTCCCCAGAATTTTTTTGCCCATGTCATTCCGTGGTTGCAGAAGTTTAGTACATGCTGAAAACTATACACGCAGTGAAAACGTGGCCGCATTGAACTGAAGCACTTACCATTTTGAGGACAGACCTTAGCCAGCTCTCTTCCTATACGATATGTCACCCTGGGATCGTCGAACGGACTGGAAAAAAAGAAAAAAATATTCGCTGCACATTTACGAAGTGGGTGCTGATGGCAGGGGAAGGACGAAGAAGTGTGCATTAAATTATGAATCCTGGCCTTCCAAGGTATTTCAGCCTGGTTTTAAATGTGGAGCATTTGTTAGTCACACGTTGTCGCGGATCTGGAGTCGGTGGCGCCGTGCGCACCCCCACTGCTCATGCTCGCGTCTCGTGGCATCTGTCGCTCCCCTCCCCACTCTTTCACCTTACAAAGCCGACGCAGGCAGCCTCTGCTGGTCAAAAATTCACACCATCTTCCCAATGAGAACCCTGATAAGATTAGAAGCAGCAACTTTGCGCGTGGGTGTCATCACGAGTTGAACGATGCTAACGCAGGTGCTGTGGTGAGCGCTGGAAGATGAGCTTGAAGTGATGGCTGGCGTAGGTTTTGTCTTTCCATCAGCGTGTACATGGGCGCTGGACTAGAGCTGGCACGCGTTTTGCCTCGACTACCACGGCCTTGTGATTGGTGAAGTGCACGCTGACAGGTTCGTGTAGACATTTGACATCGAAGTCGGCAAATACCACGTTGATGCACGTTCCACTTATCGTATTTATTCTAGAAAGTTAGGTGTCATCATCATCATCATCATCATCAGCAGCAGCAGCAGCAGCAGCAGCAGCAGCAGCAGCAGCAGCAGCAGCAGCAGCAGCAGCAGCCGCAGCAGCAGCAACCTGACAACGTCCACTGCAGGGGAAAGACCTCTCCTATGTTTAGCCAGTCAACTCGGTCCTGTGCTTGCTGCTGCCACTTGGTACCCGCAAACTTCTTATTCTCATCTGCCCACCTAACTTTCTGTCTCCCCCTATACCACTTAGCTTCTCTGAAAATCCAGGCTGTCACCCTTAATGACCAGCGGTTATCCTACCTAGGCACCACATGCCCGGCGCATGTCCATTTCCTCTTCTTGATTTCAACTATGATATCCTCAACCCCGCTTTGTTCTCCGATTCACTATGCTCTCTTCCTCTCTCTTAAGGTTACACCTATCATTTTTCTTTTCATCGCTCGATGCGTCGTCCTCAATTTAAGCTGAACCATTTATAGAAACCTCCAGGTTTGTGCAAGTATCGGCAAGTTGCAGCAGTTACATACGTTCCTCTTGAGGGACAGTGACAATCTACCAGTCATAATATGCAAGTGCTTGGCAAATGTTCTCCACCCCATTCGTATTCTTCTAGTTACTTCAATCTTGGGGTTCGTCTTCATGGTTATTACCTGTCCTCAGTAAACATAGTCTTTTATAACTCTATGTGCACTATTACCTATCTGACAGCAGTGTTTTTTTTTTCCGAGGTTGATGTGCATTACTTTAGTTTTCTGCAGATTATTTTTAGACCTACCTTTCTGCTCTGTTCGTCTAAGTCCATAATTAGGAGTTTCGATTCATCGCCTGAACTCCGCAATGAAATGTCATTGACGTTTGGCATGCGTCATGTTTATTGTGCGTAAGCCGACAAGCCGGTGATGTAGCGCGTGGAGGTAGCGGCAGGTGTTGCGGGAGAGCGGACGAACGAGGCGGCAGCTGCGGGCACTGCAGCGAGCGCGTGACAGGCGAGGGAGAGAGTGACGTCAGCGCGCATCTGGGGCGCGAGCTGCTAGGCACAGCTTCAGCATTTGCGACGAGGCGAGTGCGTCTTGGTGCGTTCGTACACAAACACAGAGGGACAGCATTGCACAGCCTTGTTAAAGAGATGCTTTGCATCTAAAAAAAAATGTCTGATCGCGCTTTACAACCGTTCATTGGCCACCCCGTCAATGTGGGCAATAGATCAAGCCTTCGGAATCGAGCAAAGGGCGTCTTTACTTGGATTTCGCTTCACTTAACGCTTTGCTTGAATTGAGTAGAACTGCTTGAAGCAACAGTACCTTCAACCAGTAGTGAGGCACGACCCAGCATCAACATCCCACCCCTCGTTGAAAACAACGCTTCTACTTCATTCAATAAATAACAATAAAACCATCTCGCGCTAAACGGAACGATGTGTAGATGCGAGCAGCGGGTGCTAAGAGCTGCTCCACATCTAATTAAGACGAAATAATCATTAAGCATTCGCAAACCGTTAGCAATTAGGCTTCACGCGATACCCATATCACTCCGTGATGCATTTATTCTAGTTCTCTCCATGGGAAGATGCGGGCAGCTTTTTTATGTTGTGGCCTTTTATTTTGTGTGTCTTGATTAAGAGCTCTCGGTAACCTTTGCGTTGTTTACAGATGTTTTGGTTCACGTTAGCGTTGACCGTTTGCCTCATTTACGACGCTGTGGCGTTTCATTTTTTTCTGGCTAAGGGCCTTTTCTATTTTGTGTTTATCGAATGTCTGTTCTGTCATAAGCTTTCAAATATAGGTGGCTAGATGTTGTTTTTACGGTGTTTTAGCCTTTCATTTTTTTTCAAAACATGCGCATGTTATTTGCACTCTGTAGATGGTATTTTGCACAAATGCTTCGCACAAATGCTTCGCACCTGTGCTTCGAATTTGTACCACAGTAAAGCGAGCCTTGACGACAGCAGCCAGGCATTGTGGGACCCTAGAGTGATGGTGATTGTGGTATATATTTAGGGGGGAACCTCCTAAAGCAGTGGGTGTGTTCATGCATGTCTGTGACCGGTACGTCACCACCTAGTTGTATGACTTACTCAGGAAGTGGCGCTAGTGTAAGTGACAGAGACACAGACAGACAAACAGACAGGCAAACAGAGAGACAGACAGACAGACGCACAGATGGACGGGCAGACAGACGCACGGGTGGACGAGCGGACACATGGACGGACACACAGACGCCCGGATGAACAAACGCGGTACAAACGGAAGCAAGAATGAACGGACGAGTGAAAAGATGGCCGCAAGTACGGACGCTTCACCCTGCTCATCATCATTCACTTCGTAGATATGCTGCAAATGTTTTGTGTATTTTATTCGCAGAATCAAAGCACTTCCAGTTATACTTTTTTTACTCCATATGAAGCAAGTCTATTCAATTGGCCGATTGAAAGCGTTCCCTGTTTGTTACATAGGCAGATGAAGCAGCTTTGACGCGAGATGCCCTTCACGAAAAAACTTTTCTGCTCCGCGAAAATCAGCGGATGTGACCGGAAGTCCAGCGTGCCCACTCCTGGAAAATGAGAGTTGCACCCATCGAGTTTCATTCTGAACCTGCCATTTGCTCCAGAGGGAGCGTCTGTGTTCGATTGTAGGTTCCTTCTGTGGCCCTCTGCCAGAGTGAAATGATCCAATGCAGAGTTCGTCGGCCTCTCCGAATCTGCCAATTGATGACACGATCTATTTTTTTCCAGAACAACAACAAGAAAACAGGGGGAAGGTGCCGGTGCAGAGAGTGGTTGCTTTAATTCAGAGGAGGTCGGCGGGGATTGCTTAGGATACATCAGCCACAACCACGCACTGGATGAGTCAGCGTAAGTATTCTGGCTCGGAGGCACGCAAAAGGGACTTTCACGACTGAGGTGTTTGTGTTTTCTGTATTGTAGCGCGTGCACATTCACACCATATGGGTGTGTATCACCAGATATGAGCAGTGTTTGCCCCTTGGCGCTATCTGTTCTGGAAAAAATTCCGCTTTTAGGAGGAGGTTTGGGAAGCAGCCGGTCGTTGGTTTGCGCGATTGGACACCCTGTCGTTTTGTTAGATCGTGGTGTGCAGGAGGGCATACGCTTCTTCTGAGCCGGTAGTACTGGGCGTTGTCTGCATACGTGGTGAGTAGTGTGCCGCGTGACATTCCTGCGTCAAAGGAAGCTGCACGGGAAACACTACACAAGGTTCTACACCCTACATATGATTATGAGAGAAGTGCTAGTGCATGGCTCCGGAAATTTCAGCCATCTGCTCTTTCTAACAATCACTGACATTACACAATATACGGGCCTCTACCGATTCTCCTCCATAGAATTAGACTGCCACGGCCAGGATAGAACCCGCGCCTTTCGAGTCAGCAGCCGCACACCTTAGCCAATTATCCACTGAAACAGATTGGCGCTGTGAACATGTCTCTGTCATCGTGTCAGCCTTTAAAGAGTGCCCCTCCCCCGCATTTTGGCTATAAATGGTTCCACTGTGAGCACAGGAGCCGCTGTATTTTCCACAGATGCTGCTCTTGTCTCTCGATTCCGATCATCCGACAGTGCCGAGTAGTGGCTGCATACGGTCGCGCAACTTTGCATCACTCGACTAATGGCTTGAAAACGTCCAGCTCCAAGCTGTCTCCTGCCGCTTTGCCAGCACTGTTTGTATCGTCCCACTGGCTTTGGCAGCGTCAGGGGACCTTAAAGTCACCCCAACCGAGAACTTCGAATGTTCCGGTGCGATCTAATATAGCCATTGGATCAACCAGGCTGCTTGGCATAGGCACATTGGATATTCGCTTGCCATCATACCACCACCAGCTCCAGTGAAATACTGCAGTCACAGCTTCCAGGGTGACATTTTTTTGTATACCATCACTAATACTCTCGGCACCTGCCATGCCTGGCTGGACTATTAGAAATGGCCGGTAGCTATCGTCCACCTTCGTGATGTAGCCAAGGCATGGCACAGCTATGAAATCGTCCAACAACAGTCCTGACCTGAATGCGTGCCTCACTTACCACCATTTTTCGACTACATTTATATGCGTGTAGCACTTTTCACAGGAACACACTCTGTACCGCTCATAGAGGCTGTGAAGCTCAGAACCTCGACGTTGCAGCTCAGGCCCTTACTATCCCGCTTTGTTGCCGCTGACCGAAATTACGAGTGCTGCCGCGATGGTGCAGCTGCGCCCCGCACCAACGTTCTTACCCGCTGAATTCAAGCTCCTGATTATGCCCTGCCAATGGTATAGCTGCGTCCTCAGCTCCTTCACAGTAAGGTTCGCCGAACGCCCTACTATATACATCATCACGGATACCGACACAATCTAAAAGCCGGGCTTCGCGTTCCAGACCTCAGACTGCTTCTGGA